TGTGTGTGTGTGTGTAGAGCATCAGAGTTCTGAGAGTGTCACACCAAGATGCCCAGCTCACCACACTGTGCAACACGGCCATGATCACAGACCACCGAAGCCACATTGTAAAATTGGAGAATCAATATTGAATTCACCTTGTTGTTCAGGATCTACTTCTTCTTCTTCTTCTTCTTCTGCTTCTTCTTTTTCTTAATTATCATCATCATCATCTTCATTATTATTATTATTATTATTATTATTATTATTATTATTATTATACTCTACAGTAAGTTGTTAGGTTGACTATATGTTAAGTGTATATTCAAATGTTTGCTCAGAACCACCGAACCCCCGGAACAGGGGGCGAGTGCTATATCCACTCGACCGCTGCACTCCTACGTGAGGTTAAACATTCATAAAGTACAGCTAAGTAATCTAGTTTGTGGACAGATTAACTCAGCTTATGTGTACTGTACTGTGCTCTCTCAGCCCGACTTCATAGGGTGGCTGCAGGAGGAGGGGATGGACATGTTGATACAGCTGGGGTCGAGACTGGGGCCCCTGGCGACGCGGGGGGAGCCGTGGGTGTTTGTGGCACACAAAGGCCACGCTCCCATCTTCGAGTCACTGATCATCTCCAGGAACTCCTCCACCATGGACGCGTCTCCTCTCGCCTTCTCAGGCACCATCTCCGTCTTCCCTGGTAACGTTGTCACCTTCGTGATGTTCTCTCTATCTGTCCGCCTCCTTGTTTAGTACTGTAGTGTCGCTTCTGGACTAAAACAATTAAATAGATGGCAAATGATATGCGATGGATTAATGTTTTGTCAATGTCGTCGTTATCATATCCTGGCTTCATGTGCTACATCAACTGATTGTTTTGATAATAAGTTATATTAACAATAAAGCCTTAGATTCTAAACTTCTTTTGAGATAGTAGTAATAGATATTAATGGTTAAGTAATTATCATAAAACCAATAATGATGCAATGCGATAATTCCCTCACCTCCACATCTTGGACACAGGGTTTTCATTCCTAAACTTAAAAAAAAAATCCAGTTTGTTTGTGATTCACTGAAAATTTTGTAATCAGTTCAGAAATCCCCAAACTAACAAATCCTTCACGTTCAGCACACCTCGGCTATAAGTGGCAAACGGATAAAGTCCCCCCTCCCTTACTCGGGCGTGGAAATAAACAACATTAATCGTCACATTCGTTTGTACAGTTCTAATATACACCTAACCCAACCTCAAAAATAAAGTTTCCTTATATCCGCACGAGCTCCGTACTCCTGTTAAAAAGTTATATAGTCAAGGGGTAGCATTAAATGATAATAAATGAAAAGAATGATAACATTAAATCAATATAGGAATATAATTCACACAAAGAAGTAAATTAATAACGTACCAAAAAGTAATAATAAATCAGCAATACTAAACGAATACAAAAAATAAGATATAAACAAGAAAAATAAATCCCTCCCACGAGGCATCAGTCAGCTGGTGAGTGTAAACACATGGACGGAGTTTTAACATGATTAAGGGTGCGTTCCACACATATCTCACACTACAGCACAGTATATTCGAATCACACCTAATTCGAATATTTCAAATTTTATCCAAGAGGGAAGACAGTTTCCCTCTCCGCCAAAAGACAGTGAGTCTTGTAACAGGTATTAGCTAAGCTGAGAAAATCGTAATATTCACCGCCGCGTCACATATCGTTTCTCTCCGGCCATTTTGCATCAGTATATGTCCGTTCCGGGCTCAGTGTGAACGCACTGCTTAAGCCTGCAGTGCCATAGTGCTGGTACAGTACGAGAAACCACAGCAATGATAGGTGTCTTCATGCCATATATGACAAATTTACACACACACACACACCAAACATTATATTATAGAATACGTTGTTCGATCAAACACAATGAAATTTACAGTACAGATACAATATGTAAAGCTTTAACAAAGTACAGTAAAAAGAAAAGTGGTGCTACACCCCCCCCCTAGCGTTATGTTCCAAAACCCACGACTGAGAATTTGGGTGAAGTGGCAGCGAAGCTTCGAGTCAAGTCTGAACGGGGAACTTTACCCAAATTCTTCGTTGTGGGTTTCAGAACATAAGTTACAGTAAATATAAAGCGACTTTTTTCTTTGACTGTATATAGCAGTATGCAAATATATTACATTTATGTCTAAAGTATTTGTAAAGTAAACAAATAAATCAACCTAAAATATTCACTGTATTTAAAATAAACATAAGTCGGGCTAACATACTGGGGTACATAACATGACACGTCGTTAGAGAGAGGGAAGGGCGGAGCGTCACCTGGGATATAACGTTAAAATTGCTCTAATGTATCCAGAAAGGCGTGAAATTAAAACATCATTTCATTCTGATTTTTCAACTTTATACAACATCTGTTTCGTGTTAATAAAATAAACTCTAAATGTGTTCTTATGAGTAAACTTAAAGACATCCGCCAACTTACCTCCCCTCTTGTGTGTGGTGACAGGGAGGCAATGTCCGTGGTACAAGGAGCCGGAGCTGGTTACCAAGGCGGAGTTCTGCGAGACCTACGAGGGTTACCACCGCTTCTGTGACTGTCAACATCCCCTGCACCTCCACCCTGGCATGGCTGTGAGTCCCCGCCTTTGTTGTGCTACCCTTAATTTATTATTCTTATTTAATGATGACTATCTATCTGATCTGCTTAAGATATAACAATAATACTTAAATTATTAGTGGTTGGGTTTTGGTACCTACATTATTACAATACATTACTCACAAAGACGAGGTTGTATACTGTAAGTGAGGCTTTCAGTCATCATCTCTATTTAAACATGTCCACAGTATGTCCTCAGCATACACTCAAGGACGGATATATGGAGTGTTTATTCTTATCATACATATTCCAACAAAAAACCTTCGTCATTCGAAGCATTTCGTGCGAGGAACATTAAGACTTGGATGCAATCATTCTGCCAAATTCTAAAATAAATATGCTCGGCCTTACCATTTCCTCTAATACGTCATGGAAGCTATACATCCACAACATTGCTAAAGCTCTCTCCCGAAAGCTAGGAATACTGTAAATATTGTTAACACAGTGCATGCTGTTGCTTTAAGTAATACTACTAACCCAGAGAGAACAAATGCTCTAGAATCACAGTCTTCAAAAAGGACAGTCCTAGAAACCTGGCCAATCAAGAGTTGGTACACAAATAGCAGAAATCTAGTCTATTTGGTGTGATTTGTTGCTCAAAACAAAAGCAAGCTGACAGGGCTGCCTCAGATTCGTGGGAAGAAGTAGCAGCTCTCCATTGAATCATCCAGGCAGTATCCAGAGTACAAGCTCTCATCATGGAAGACCTTAATCACAAGACAATAGACTGGGTGAATTTTACTACACAAGCCGAGGAAGAATTCCTTGATCTCTTTCAAGACTCATTCCTCACACGACACGTGGCGGAACCCACGAGGGAAGACACCATTCTAGATTTAGTCTTGATCTTTACAACTGAGTACAACTGAGGAGGCTATGGTGGATGAGCTTCACGTCAGGGAAAAACTAACTCCGACTAACAACCACTACAAAGTAAGTTGGAATACAATCTTTAATAGTCGAGAGAAAGTAGTTGAGAAGGAATACTATGACTCCAACCATGGAATTTACCACCTCATGACAGACAAACTACAGAAACTTAAATGGAATGAACTCGTTAGAAAGGTGACAGACAGACAAATCAATTCAAAACTTCATGGAAATCCTCGAGCCAACAGTAAAGAAAAAATATCAAATGTGGAAGAAATACCAGAGCACAGGGCATCATGCAGATTATGAAGTACACAAGACCCCTAAATGTGGCCAATCAGGAAATTAGATCAGCCAAACAGCATTTCGAGATGAAATTAGCCCAAAATATTAAGCAAGATACCAAGTCCTTTTATGCATATGCCAGAAGTAAAATGAAAACCAAGGATACTGTCAACCCTTTAGAGTCTAAAGGATGAAAGCAACGTGGCCCTGGAGGATGACAGACACACAGCTGATACCTTGAATGAATACTTTGCATCAGTAATCACACACGAGACAATGGACGTACCACAGACCAAGGTGGTAAAGGAGGTGGCAAACAAGATTTGCATCCCACTAAGACTCTTATTCAAGAAATCCTTTGATCAAGGTAAAGTGCCTAGAGACTGAAAATTAGCCAGCATCCGCCAGTATACAAGAAGGGAAGGAAAAGTGCAGCAGAAAATTACAAGCTGATCAGCCTAATATCAGATATAAGCAAGCTCTTTGAGAAAATTCTGAGGATCACCATCAATCAACACCTAGCCGAACGCAGTCTTATCAACCCATCATAACACGGTTTCATGGTAAGAAAATTCTGTCTGATAAACTTAATTGAAATGGTAACAGAATATGTGGATCAAGGGTCACCATTGGATGTGTTGTAAATGGATTACTTCAAGACAATTGACAATGTCCCACATGCACGACTAGCCTCTAAGATCCAAGCACCTGGCATTACAAGCAAGATTTTGACGTGGATTAAGGAGCTCACTCACTCCACTCCTTAACTTGACTGCTGAGACAACACTAATGTTTTATGGCGTCGCTTTATGGACAGTTGTCAAGTCGCTAATTAGTGATCGATTACCACGTGAGAGGAGGTCTACAGGAATGACACGCCAAAATCTCAAGCGTCAATCGGAATTACTAAATTTTTCGTGAATTTTTCTCTTGAATGACACGTAGGGGCGTTAGTGCCAATCGGACGAGTTTGCCATTGACGCCTATACGCGCCACGGTGCGCGAGTGTTAACAACTGGCTCAAAGACAGGCAACAAAGAGTGATTGGAATTTTTTTCTCTGAGGAGTACCACAAGGCTCTATCCTTGGACCTACCTTGTTTGTGATCTATATAAACGGCATTCAGCAGATGAAAATATATTGAGCCACATTTTCAAACTTGCAAACGACATGATATCAAGTCAAGACGATGTCGCACAATGCAGAAAGACCTGAATGAACTGTTCAAATGGTATCGAGACTGGCAAATGCTCTTTGACATTATGAAAAGCAAGAGCTTACACGTAGGATACAACAACCGTAAGCATAACTATTCTGTTAAAAACACTTTCCTGGATACTGTCGATCTTGGCGTTGTGATAGATCATTTAATGAAGGCGTTGGAATAAGTGGGTGAAGGTGTGAGGAGAGCAAATCGAGATTTGGGAATTATAAAGTGTGCCTTTGAATACCAAGATAGGAAAATGCTCCTTCAACTGTACAAATTTCAAATACATGCCAGTCTGGATTACTGTATACAGGCATGGAATCCTTCCCTCCAGAAAGATCTAACATTCCTAAAAAAGGTGCAATACAGAGAGACTAAAATGATTCCGGAACTATGTCATCTCGATTATCCAAATACACTGAGGACCTTAGGACTAACAACCCTTCAGAGGAGGCACAATAGGGCAGATTTCAATGAAACAGACAAAATCTTGAAAGGGATGGAAAACGTGAACCCGGAACATTACTTTGTGATGTCACTCACCGCCAACAGAGGGAAGTAGACCTGTGGAACAGTCTACCACCCCAACCTGTGGAATCAAGAACAGTACTGGGCTTCAAAATAGCCTTTGACAAAATTATCGAAAACAATAGCGGGATCCTACACAGGTCACTGGCTTCCTTCCCTTGGCATGGCCACCTCTAGTGAATGGCCATTGGGTAAACGAGGTAAATAAGAGCTGCCGTATTATCAACATCAAAAGATCAGTCTCAGGTTCCGAAGAAAAAACTACTCAGTGCACATCTGATGGTGGCTGTGTTGTGCCACTGTATCCAGTTTATTATTATTATTATTATTATTATTATTATTATTATTATTATTATTATTATTATTATTATTATTAATTATTATACACTTTCACTATTGCAGTAGTTTTGTTGTTATTCTATTAATACAACATCTTCCTGTAGTGCTGCTTCTTTACTTCTTTGTACGATGTTACACTAATACCTACATTATTTACCTTTTTAACTACATTCTTAAAGAATGCGGCGATCGAGTGGATACGGCTACACTTCTTTTTTTCGAGGGGTCGGTAGTCCGATTCCCGCCCCCACCCCCAAGTTCAGCCAGCTGTAAATGGGTACCTATGTTTATAACTTAGGGAAGTGAGGGCGGTCAACAGCATTAACTGCCATTCTGCCTCATTGTATACCGAAGGCTTAGTATACAGTGTGCTGTATCCACACTGTTTATAACGGTTATCCATGCCTATGGGAGCCTCTTTCACTATATTCTGAGACTTATCATTACGTCTTTACTATGTCTCGTCTCCGTCTTCATGTATGAGATCCTTGAATTGTTTTGGTTTCTATTTTCTTGGCCTTCATAACTAGGTAGACTTTCACTCTCGCAGTCTCTATATTTCTCTTTCGACTTGAGGCTGGGAGAGGCGGCGTCCTAAGAGCTAGTGATGAAGACACTTCCTCTTGTACTGTAGAGTCCATCTTTACTTCTTTTTTTTTCGCTTTTTCTCTACCTTGTACACAAAAGTATCTGTATGGTGGGTCCGATGGATATCAAAATGAACACTGTGACTCCTGTTGCCTCGGTAGGGTTGGCAAAATCCTTCGGCCGTTGTGTCATATTGTCTCGGAAAAATTTTGAAAATAATTTTTGTTGCGAGTGTACCTTTCAGCAGGTATGCCTTGAAGGCAGCTACCAATATCGGCAGTGATAAATGCCTTTGCTTTCTTACTTTGCTTAGCCTTTTTCTAAGATGTGATTTTTGCCACCCATACTTGAATCATTAGTGAAAGGAAAACCTTTTATTAATATTGTACTGTTTTGATTGTATATTCATTGTTCCCCACCTATGTGACCTTTAACAGCCATACCTGCAGCTGGAGGAAGTGATCCCCGTGGCGCTCGTGACCGCCAGACGCTTCCCGACGGTGCTGAGGCAGGTGCAGCAGCTGTGGCAGAGCCCAGGAGGAAGCCAGACGCCTCTCGCCATCCTGGTGGACGGTCACAACACCCAGGCTCACATGCTGGCCCAGATCCTCAACATCACTGCTATATTTCATGACAACCCTGTACCTAAAGGTAAATGGAGTCGTGCACATGGTCTCACACACACACACACACACACACACACACACACAAAATACATTAAGCTAATTAGCCCGAATGAACCACAGTAGTCCTAGGGCCAAGGTGGAAATCTGTGTCATTTATGCGGACAAAGGAAACCTATTTTATCTGAAAGCCCGACGTCCAGGGTTCACAAAAATAGGAAATCCAACTTTATGCTATTTTGAGGTTGCTTTAACATCTAGTGTAGTGACGAAAGGCAAAATGTATGAAAATAGAGAAAATATCATAATTCAGTAACCAGAGAGGCTATCAACATGATTTTTTTTTTCATGAAAATCATAGATTTGTTGACCTTTATGGTGGAATACTTTATGTGACCCTTACGGGTCCTTCCTTCCTTAGGCTTTAGTAAGCCCCTTTATAATATTTATACTGTATATACTTGTCACACATGCCAGATGCATCTGGTGTTATTGTTCAGGGGTGCCTAGTGACAGCACTAGGATCCCGCTTCCTCTATCAAGGAATAAACAATTGAAATTGGATTGAATTAACCCTTACGGGTATTGATATTGATATTGAAACAATTTATTTAGCCAGAAGAACACAGATACAGAGTCGATAATAATAATAATATTAACATGGCTGAGCCAGTTGAGAGCCTGAGCTCTCTTGAAGGAACCTGATATGTACTGTACATTTATCTCAAGGAAGTATTATGTAACAGCATCATCTGAAACAGCACACGTTCTGTTCTTTCCCCTACTCTCTTCCTTCTTTTTATCAATGATTTACTTCACACTACAACTAATTCTATCCATTCTTACGCTGATGTTTCTACTCTTCACTCTTCTTCACATTTTCCTCTTCCCCCTAACTCTCAAACTACATCTGTTTCTAGAGCTGATATCGTTACATCTATCAATGTGGATTTGTGCAGCATCTCCGAAAGGTTAAATTAAAGATTAATAAAACTCAATATTTACCAGTGACAATTTCCAAATTAGATGATCTCTCACCAATCACATTTCAGGATACAACCATTCTGCCAAATTCTAAAATAGATATGCTAGGCCTTACCATTTCCTCTAATACAGTATGTCATGGAAGCCACATTTCCTTAACAATGCTAAAGCTGCCTCCTGAAAGCTGGTAATGCTGCACAGATGCCGTAGCTACTTCACTACTGAGCAGTTGCTTCAAGTTTATAAGGGATTTATTCGTCCTAACTTGGAGTACTGCTCTCATATCTGGGGTAGCTCTTCTTCTGTCCAACTCTTAGATAGGATGGAATCAAAGGCATTTCGTCTTATTAACTCTCCTCCTTTAGTTGACAATCTTTCTTCCCTTTCTCTTCGCCTCAATGTTGCTTCACTTTCTCTCTTTTACAGGTACTTAACGGGCAATGTTCAATGGATTTGGCATCCTGTGAACCGCCGGCAAGGCCGTGGGTTCGTAACACTCGTAACATCCTTCTTTCCTCACACAGCCAAACTGTGGAATGCTCTGCCTTCTTCTGTGTTTCCACACTCATACAATCTGTCTCACTTTAAAAAGCTGGTTTTCCGGCATCTTCGTGGTGTAGATTAATATAACCTTTTTCTTTTATAGTTTTAACTTCTTTCTATTCGTATTTTTTTGCCCCCTAGGCCCCGTTGTGGGTCGATGACTTGTGCCCGGGTGGGCTATTCCCTGTAGTAGTAGTAGTAAAAAAAAAAAACCTCATGGTGGTAGTAAGAACATATCAGACTGTTACCGCAGTTATCACTTCGATATTTATTTTATATTTTTTTTCAATTTATATTATTTTCTACATTTATATTATAAGTATATACATACGTTACAGAGGAGTTGATATTATACATAAATATGATAAGGGAGGGAAGCAGTACAACATGGGTTGTATTAAGGTGGAACAAGAGGACAGAGCTGTCAGTATCATGTCTAGTCGGCAAATATATTTATTGCAATGGTAATTTCTATCTATCTGCAAGATAATTTCTGATAAAACGGTTTTGGTGCTACAATAAAAGTAGGAATATAGAGTAGGCATTAAAAAAAATATTAATACTAAGAATATAGATATGTTTTAAGAGATGATTTAAAGGAAGCGGGCGTAGTCTTTGCTCGGATGGGTGGGGGTAAGTTGTTCCACACCTTCACACCTGATCTAAAAAGGTATCTACGTGAAGGGGAATACTGCTGATGTTATGGCTAATTAAGGAGAAGGAATGAGGTAATAGAAGTCTAGAACTAAAGTAGGGAGAGTCAAAAAAGTAATAGGAACAATTGGGGTTGGTGTAACCCAGTGCGTTTTGTACAAAGGAATCAGGGTCAATGTGAGGGAGTATATTGTGTCGACATCATGGGTAAAAGGGGTGCAGCACACACGGTCCAGTACATCTAAGAGAATGACACTAGCATCGTCAGTGTAGGAATATTGGTACTGATTAAGGAACAGCAAAAACTGAGGTGTGAAAAAGGAAGGTCGAAGAAAGTTATAATAGTGGGGGGAGGATGAGGGGGTAACGTACTGTTGAGGGTAATTCCCAGTTTGTGTGGGAGGTGCGTCCGTCTCCTGGTTCTGAGGGTTGCTGATTCCCACCGCAGAGGGTGACGTGTAGTACCCGAGTTGGCCGGCAGGGGGGAACTCCACAGGTGATCGCCAGGATACGGAGAATGGCTTTTTTTTTTTTTAGAGAGAGAGAAAGGAGGGGTGAACGAAGATTAGAGGTGGAGAAAGGAAGTTATAGTTCGGAAATTGAAGAAGTTTAGGAGGAGGTAATAGAGGGCGGGCTGACCGCCTAGCTAAGCTAATAGTGTGTTAGGGTTGTGTCATGGGTTATTTATTGTCTGTTGGTACAGGCACTAGACATCCTACCCTATCCCATACATGGGTGTTTTAAGGGCCTCATTTCATATTCCGCCGACCCTACTGGCGGATGTTGGTCTGGGGAGGTTGTCTATTGCCTGGCCGTGTAGATCGGGGGTGGTAATGGACCTTTTGAGATTTGGTAACTTTTTGGGAACCATGTATGGTTGCTGTCGTTATCTGGTGGGAGTCTTTGAAGGAGTTCTTGCTCTGATCGTTCTATCTTTTGCCAGATTCTGGTGGCCAGGGTGTGCAGCTGCTGGTCGATGGGTTTCATTCTCAGGTCTCTTTGTATCTCGGCTGTGGTTCTGGTGAAGGGGTATCTTTCGCCTGTAACGAATCTTAGGGCTTCATTTTGAACCACCTGTAATTTTAAGATTTGAGTGGTGCTCATAGTATGAAGAGGTATTGCTGGGTAAGTTAATATCGGTGTGATAAATGATGTCACTAGGCGGAGTTTTATTTTCTCAGGAAGCGCTTTAAAGCGGTATAGTTTTCTCAGCTCTCGTTTTGCTTTTTCCTTCCTGGTGTGGACATGATGGGAGTAACCTGGGCATTATTGGTTACTAATGGATGGGTTTTCCTTTTGCATAAGGGTATTACTGTGAATTTCGGGAGACTGGTTTGGATTTTCCATTGTTTTGGCTGGTTCCCCCTTTGTCGGGAGGGGGCTCTCGAGGGGCTGGGGGGTACAGCGGGTGGTTGGGTGTCCACTTGCCCGTATTTCCCTTGTCTCCTGGCTTCTATAAACTGGTCCATTTGCTGTTGGCGGGCTTTAATCGTGCCTGGGCATCGGCTCTCGTGCCACCACCACGACAGACAGACAGACGGAGAGGTCAAGGTCAAGTCTAAGAACTGTTTGCTGAGTTATGACATTTTACGTATTTATATACTATTCTCCACGTGTCTGTTTATTTGTTGCTATGCTAACTTTGTTTTAGCATTGAAACATTCGTGAGTTTGGTAGAAACTCAGTCATTATTTACATACAGTTAGATGCAGTGCAGATATAAAATTGTGACATCGAAAAGACTTGACCTTGACCTGTAAGGGTCAAAAAAATTATTCCACCATAAAAGTCAACAAATCTAGGAGTTTCATTAAAAAATCATGTTGATAGCCTCTCTGGTTACTGAATTATGATATTTTCTCCATTTTCATACATTTTGCCTTTCGTCACTACACTGGATGTTAAAGCAACCCCAAAATAGTGTAAAGTTGGAATTTCTATTTTTGTGAACCCTGGGCGTAGGGCTTTCAGATAAAATATGTTCTCTTTTATCCCTAGCGATGATATAAATCTGCTCAAATATGGGCCTTGGCCCAAGTCTGCATGATCCAATCGCACGCTCAAGAAACTCCGCTTAAGTGAATTGAAAAAGAAACAAATACTGTTAAGCGACGTTTTCTAAATCAGTGTCGTAGGGAATAATTATATTTTAACTTCACTATTATTAATAAGATTACACAGAAATATTTAAAAAAAATATATACATTTCACTACAATTACACGTTTACAAAGACACAACTCTCCCATGAAGCTCAAAAGACGGAAATATTATTTTGTTCCACTGACGGGCGGGGAAACCACAAAAATAACTCCCACCCGCCCGCTCAACCGTAAATATATTGCTTTTTTTTTTTGCTTTATCATCTGTAATAATGAATGCTAGTATCATAAAAGCACCAACATATTTGTAGCTAAATCATTCTGCGTCTAAAGTCACACACAAAACCTAAGAATATATTGACGTGAAATACCTTGTCCTGTCCCTGGAAATAGAATAAGGTTAATGGAATACACTGAGTCTGATACACATCTGTTCCTCCTGCCCGCCACCCTCATAAGGCACTAAACACAGAGTCAACCAGCACATCAAGTTCTCCCTCAGAACAATCTTCGAGTTGTATCCAGAGGTTGACAAGGCTATCATCCTCGAGGACGACCTCTCCCTCGCCCCGGACTTTATAAGGTGAGGCTTGAAGTAAGACAGTGACAGAGAGAGAAAATTATTTGACCTTTGTTTTGCCTTAGTCATATGTTTAACTATTCTAAAAAAAAACTGCTACTGCTTCATCAAATATCATTAACTATCTCCCCCCAACGCATAACCTCATTCTTCATGACCTGCCCTGACCTACCTAGCTACCTCTAACTATCATGACCTGCCCTGACCTACCTACCTACCTCTAACTATCATGACCAGCCCTGACCTACCTACCTACCTTTAACTATCATGACCTGCCCTTACCTACCTACCTACCTTTAACTATCATGACCTGCTCTTACCTACCTACCTCCCTCTAACTATCATAACCCTCTATTCCCATTTTCAGCTACTTCCAACAGACATCACTGTTGATGAGCGTGGACAAGACGGTGCTGTGTGTAAACGCGTACAGCTACAGCGCCTTCCCCCACACGGCCTCTGACCCGAGTCGTATCTACCGCGTCCACTCCTATCCTTACTACGGATGGATGACCAGCAGGGTCCACGCCCTCACGATGCTCGGCAACTGGGCGCCCCTTGACATAGTGAGTTACTGGCTGATAGTGAGTTATTGGTTAATATATTAAGTTATTGGTTAATATGGTGAGTTACTGGTTAATATGGTGAGTTGCTGGTTGATAGAATGAGTTTTTGGTTGATAGAGTGAGTTATTGGTTCACATAGTAAGGTATTGGTTGATATATTAAGTTACTGGTCAACATATTGAGTTACTGGTTGATAGAGTGAGTTATTGTTTGACATAGTGAGTTACTGGTTGATATATTAAGCTACTTTGTTAATATGGTGAGTTACTGCTTACATAGTGACTTACTGGTAGATATAGTGAGTTATTGGTTGACGTTGAATTAGCTGATGGCCAAAATTATCCAGACTCACTCACTCACTCACTCATTCACTAAAAGACAAACACAAACACATCCTTGACACTAGTAACAACATACACGGGACATTGCACGAAAGATAAGCCAACACAACAAACCACTACCCAGGACACCCAGGAAGCTGATCCCTCCACCACCAAGGAGGACACCACGATCAATAATGTCCATATTCCCATAAGAACCAAAGACTGAGCTCCCACTTCCACAATAATCCCCTAAAACCTGGTAAGGATTTGTTGCGTAAGGCTGAATGAAAGGCAGATATTATGTAGCAATTCTTATTCCCTTGTGGTTTAATTAATTGATTGAATAGATAACAAAGAATTAATGTCAAAATTAAGGAGAAAATGATAATACACAGGTTAAAGGTGGAGGGTGTGGTAGCCATTGAACGTCAAAATCAACGGGAAAAACAAAAGGTAGTGCAAAGAGTTAATGCCGAGCCCCGTCAAAATTATCTCCTTGATAGCAGGATTCACCGGGGTCATCAGGAAGATCTTAACCAAGTAAATGGAGGCTGTCCCGAAAAAGTTGGCTGTTTAGAATTGCAGATGAGGTACACTCAATAAATATACTCAAGCGACCCGTCAACAGTGAGATATTGTATATTACCTGACTCCCAGCACCTAGGGACTGCTTGGAGGCTTCTAGATAATACGATTTGATTTTTGAAAGGATTTATTAAAGTTAATACACCTTAAAGTTGTGTGTTCCGTTGCAACAAACCGATGATGGAGTCGTCTGGGGAGGGCTTGAAGGAGCTGGGGGGACAACTCTGACACTCCGTATTTATTATATTTGTGTCTGTCCCCTCCAGCAATCACTTCCTCTCCTCTCTTCTCACCTCACCCACAGATCGTTTCCTCCAACACTCATCCCTCCGACTCCTCTTACCTTACCCACCACCACCCACAGAACGCCGACTGGGACCTGTACGTGCGCCACTACCACGTGGACGCCACCCACGAAGTGATCATCCCAGAGGTACCGAGGACAAGGCACGAGGGCGGCGGGGGTGTACACGTCACGGGGCTCGAACAGGAGACCACGTATGACCAACGACCCCTCAACACCCTCCACAACGTGACCATCAACCTGCGTCGACAGTGGCACCTCGCCTACGCCCTCGACTTGATGGCCACTATCAAGGGCGCGACCGTCGTCAAAATCACCAAGCATCCGTGTGTGGAGTATCCCATCCCCAAGTACCTGGTGAGACTCTTTAGATACCCGGTGAGATTCCTTAGATACTAGGTGAGATGCTTTGGATACCAGGTAAGACTCCTTAGATACCAGATGGGACGCCTTGGCTACCAGGTAAGACTCCTGTATAGTATCTATGACACTACTTTATCCAAACTAGGTTCGTATACCAAGTGAGGCTCTCACACTACTTACTACCAGCTGAGGCTCCCACACCCATATCAGCTTAGGATCCCACACCACTGACGACCAGTTGAGGCTCCCACACCATTGACTACCAGCCGAGACTCTCACACCACTGACTACCAGCTGAGGTTCCCACACCACTGACGACCAGTTGAGGCTCCCACACCGCTGACTACCAGCTGAGGCTCCCACACTACTGACTACCAGCTGAGGCTTGCACACCACTGACTACCAGCTTAGGTTCCCACACCACTGACTACCAGCTGAGGCTTCCACACCACTGACCCTACCAGCTGAGGCTCCCACACTACTGACTACCAGCTGAGGCTCCCACACCGCTGACTACCAGCTGAGGCTCCCACACTACTGACTACCAGCTGAGGCTTCCACACTGCTGACTACCAGCTGAGGCTCTCACACTCATATTAGCTTAGGATCCCACACCATTGTCTATCAGCTGAGGCTCCCACACCACTGACTACCAACTGAGGCTCCCACACACACATCAACTGAGGATCCCACACCATTGACTAACAGCTGAGGCTCCCACTCCACTGATTACCAACTGAGGCTCCCATACCCTTATCAGCTTAGGATCCCACACCAGTGACTACCAGCTGAGACTCCTGTTCACTGGTACCAAGTGCCAGGTGAGTCTCCAAGTTACGTCATGTTATGGCTGATGTGCCTCAGCCAGCAGGGACAAACATGCTCCTCACAGTAACAACACACTATTGGGATTTTTTCCGACGCTCCTATAATGTAATGTGAAGGAGAGTTGAGGTCCTGGACTACCAAAATAATTTTGTTTTAAGTTGTAAATCGAGCAAGCATCGTGTTTAATTCAGTTTTTTATAAAATATCATAAATAATAATAGAACAAGTAAATAATATAATAAAAATAAAGTCAATCAAGGAGCGGGTTCCGTCTCTTGTGGTCATGTTGACGTGTGGCGGAGTCTGAGAGCTACATGGCATTAAGCTGTACAAGCTGCTCCGCTAAAACTGATGTACGAATATCGGACTAATGAAAAATCCTTATTTTGGAATATCGGATATTCAGAGTTTTACTGTATATGTGAAGTCAAGTCTATACCCAAATGTCTTGGATTTATATAACTCATAAAAGAGATGTACACTGGCAGGTGAGGTTTTAACTTACAAACATTAAATTATTAGATGTACTGTAAAATCTAAATCATGCTCGAATGAGAACAAATTTAATCACTTCACAACCAAGAGAGCAATGTTTACACCCCGTTTCTCATTGCAGAAGGACAAGACCCACGTGATATATATATACGTGACGAGTGAGGAAGACAAGGAACATTCCTTCACGGTGTTAGGCAAGGTAGGAGTTACTTACGTTGGGGGTTTGTTGAGATTACTTTTGAAAAGGTTCAGCCATTTGCGAAACATCATGATGGTGAAAAATTTCGTTATTGTGTTTGTTGTAGTTCTGTGGATACACAGCATATTGAGGAATGTCAATGTGTTCTGAATGTTTATATTTAGAAAATAATAAGAAGAGCATCAAGGCTAAACTCAGAGGGTTAAACTCGGTGCAAAGAAATTTTTTAGTCAGGTGAGCTTCGCTAGTGCACTTGCTATATTTGACCTGAAGATGGAGGACCTTGTCACCCTAGGAGGTGACAAGGTCAATATTAACACATCTACAATATATCAGTATAGGCTGCTACTAGCTTGAAGAAAACTGTAAACTTGAGAGAATGGGTACCTTCGCAGAAGAGCTCCTTACTGCCTGTGCCGTGCACAGCAAACCTGAGTTAGATTCAGGTGGTTATTCTTCCTGGCCTCACTGCTGTAGGTAGATGTTTCCAGACTCTTCTCCTGCTTCAGCTTCTTCACACATAGTCTGTGTCTGTTGTTCTTCACACTATCTGTGCATTTTTCAGCCATCAGTTTGCCAGGATGTTTTCTTTTCATAGTTATTTGGGGGGGGGGATGTTGTTTTGCAAGTTCGGATTGTTTGGGCTTGTGCCGGTGTCCTTCTGGTTTCCTCCATTTTAAGGCTTTTAGCTCTTCCCTGTTTACGTACATGTTATAGCCGCCCCCCCTTCTTTTTTGCTTCTTGTGTGGTGCTTCACGCCAGGGGCATTCCTTCATTGTTTGGTTTTCCCCACGTGGGTGGCCCTCTTTTTCCACCCTCTGTTTGTGTTTTCTCTAGTCCAGGCCCACGCACTGAGTCATTACTCGGTTTCGTTGTCTGGCTCGGGTTTTGGTGGCAGAGGGAGACTTCTGTAGTCCCTTCTTCTTCCCTGCTTCATTGTTTTATTTTTCCTATTTTTATTTTCATCCCCATCTCCAGAAGGTGCCCTGGTCGGCCTCGAGGTGTTCGGCCAGGTTCCAACAGGATGGCCACTCCGCCTGTTCAGCCCATGCCCAGTGCGTGGACGACGACAAGTTCGACCGAGTCGCTGTACAGTGTGCTCTGAGTGGGTGGCAGGGCTTCTCCGCGACGCCGACAGAGATGTGAACACCTTCCACATTTTTTGACAACAGCTTCGGCACTACTGGGCGGCAGCCTCCAGTTCTGCCAGACACCGGGCTCCCCCCTCTCCTGGAGGAACCAGGATCTCTGTTCTCGGTTGAGGATGTGTCGCCACCAAGGCCCCTCGGGTAGTGACCATTCTACTGAGGACCCCAGGCCGAGCTCCCCACCTCCGGCTACCCAGTCGGCCACCTGGGAGCCCACTTCTCCTCGCCCTGGGGCTTCGGATTCTCCACAGCTTTCCCCCCTTGCCCTTCCGGGAGTCGAGTGCTCACTCCTCCTCCAGTTGCCATCGTCACCGCTCCAAGAGTCTCGCTAGTCCTTTTACAATAGGCACCACCGCCCCAGGTCGTCTAGGACAGCAGCAGAGGGGAAGTGGGCTCGCTAGGGTGATGCAGTGGTCCTCAAACCCCGTGACTCTACCAGGGCCCCAGCTGGGCTGTCCCAGCATCCCAGAGTGTCCTTGGAGAGGCTAGGACTGACCCTTCTCCCCTACCGACCTTCTATGGCTCCCTACCCCCCGGTCCAGGTGACCTTCCACGGCGCTGCCTGTGAGGACCGCCCCTCTATTTCCTCAATCGCTCCGTCTAGCCCCACTATTTCCTCCATCGCTCCGTCTAGACCAGTCCCCAGCCTCTCAGATGTTGTAGCTGAAGATGCTGGCCACCCCAGGTAGTGCACCCACACCCCCCAGTCCTGCCACTGAAGATGTTGGAGACTCTGTCTTCCTGGTTCCAGGTACAGCAGCTGCAGCAGCAGCAGGCCCAGGCCACCTCCAATCAACCTCCTGTGGTACGGGGATCCTGCCCTCACTTCCCCTCTCCAGACCCTTCAGTGTTCTCGGAGTCGGGTTCCGAGACAAGGAAGGCCGGGTCCTCATAGGGGCTGCCCGACTACTCCGACGCGGACCAGGGGCCGGTCCCAGCAACATCTCCAGTCCTTACAAGGCCCAGACCTTTGTCAGGAGAAGGTAACTTCCCACACCTATGGACACTCCCCTCTCTTTCAAGACACCATATGACATCATCAGCCAGAGGGCATACAAGTGGGCTCAGGTCCCACGGGACTGGTTTATGCACTGGCACCAGGGGAGACTGGCCATTATTGAGAGTAAAGCAGGGGGCGGACCTGGTTTTCTCTCCCCGGTTTCGACCTAGAGGTCCGACAACGGGCGGATAGCAAGGTTAGGAGTACTTTGAGTTCCGGCAGCTCCGCCTGTCGAGAAGGGAGATGGTCCCAGCACTGTTAGGAACGTCCCCGGTCGCGACTCTGGACGCCTTCGACTCTCTGGCCTACAGTTCCGTGCTCTCCACTGCAGGTCCTTCCCGAGTGGCAACGCTACAGGACGGTAGGAGGTGTGTCCGGGCAGCCGGCCAGGCCCTCTTTCCATGGGAGAAGGTGGGCCTGCACCTCCAGTCGATCTGGACAGTGGCGGCTGGAAGGAACAGCTCCCCCATCACTTCCCACCTCTCCGGCTCCTTTAGTCTTATCCCCCCAGGATGCCTGGGTGCCAGACGAGTTGGTGGAGTTCCTGTGGGCTCCGAAATTAACCCAGTCTTCTCTCCTATGGCAGGCCTTCTCAGGTAGCCCAGACCACCCTGACCTAGGACGCCTTGTAGAGGCAGAAGGCGGCCCTCGCCTTCCCCACTACGGCAGGGATGGAACAACTCGGCACCAGTTTGAAGGCACTGGCCGACAGCCCTAGCTCCCTCCACCCAGACTTGGCACTACTCCTTCAGTCCAGTGAACTATACTGACAACCTAGCCTGAGGGCCACTGGCATTATGTTGTATGTTTTTCCTATGTTCTTGTTCCTATGAAGGTTTTATCAGGACAAGGATTAATCTGATATTTGTCTCAACCCAGGATCCATTCACCATCCGACCGTCAAAGGACCGCCTACTACAGAAGGCCCTCTTCCTAGTAGTGCTGGCCATGGGCTTCAGGTCCTCCCAGCTCAAGGCACTCACGAGGTTCGACCACTAGACCTCCTTCGCCTAAGAAGATTCTGCAGTGTCTCTGGCACCTTTTCTCACCTCCCTGGCAAAAATGAGCGGGAGAACCACAGGCTTCAGCCAGTAGCTGTCCCGGCATGGAAGTTGGAGGATAAGCACCACCGACTCTGCCTGGTCAGGATCATCCGCCAATATCTCTCCGCTACAGCCAATCACACCACCAGCCAGCATCACCTCTTTGCTCATCCTCGGTTGGTCTGCCTGTTGTCAGTCAGAGGATTAACAGACACGTTGCAGCAGGTTATAATGGAGGCTGACCCTGGGAAGGCCCCACGTCCCTGCGACGTACGGGGGGGGGGGTGTAGCGGCTCCACTGGCCTTCCTGAGGACCCACTCCTCCTCACAGGTCTGGGAAGGGGTTCAGTGGAAATCGGCCTCCTGTTTCATAGCAAGATACCTGTCTCACCAGGTGTCAGACTCACCCTAAGTGGCACTGGGTCTCACCCTCGACCCACAGGCAGAACGCTAGAAAAAACTAATTAATGCAGCTTAATCTAAGGATAAATAAGTTCAAATGGTCCTTTGTGTGCTCACTACTCCCCTTACATCATAGCACCCTCCTTCCTGTGGTATATAGCAAGTGCTCTAGCGAAGCACAGCTCACTAAAATAGGGGCTTTGAAGCTTGCTGTAAAGCCTCTTTTTGGTGAGTGAGTGAAGTTAGTGCATGCACTTATCCTGCCCTTCCTTCGACTCCATCCCCTGCAATTCCTGATGTAGGTTTTTGAAAGTAGTGACCACCTGAATCTAACTCAGGTACGCCGTGCATGGCGCAGACAGTAAGGAGCTCTTCTGCGCAGGTACCCATTCTCTAAAGTTTACAGTTTTATTCAAGCTAGGAGCAGCCTATACTGATATAGATGTGTTAATATTGAGCGTATCACCTCCTAGGGTGATATCTTGAAGTCTAATATAGCAAGTGCATTAGCTTTGCTCACTCACCAAAAATAGGCTTTTCAGCAAGCTTCAAAGCCCCTATTCTTCACTTACGTTAAAAGTAATTTCGTAAATTTTATTTAGGCAAGTTGGATATTGCTGACATTATCATTAATTTTTAAATCGATTATTATATTAACCCTTTCACCGCGTGTCACTAACATGCCATTTTATTCTGGCTACCGCCAGACGATTTTATTCAGCTTAGGGTAACCTCCCGCTGTGAAAGGGTTAAAACCTATCTCGATTAACATACCAGACACTACTAACAGGGTTAGTAAACATTATGGCTTATTCACAGTAATGTTTATTATCATTACATGATAAGGTATTTGTTCAGGCAAATGTCATTGTCTACATGTCAGTCACAAAAAAATTTTCTCACAAGGAAAAAATAGTCTGTTGTTTTTTGTAAAAAGTCCCTAAACGCAAAGAGAACAACCAGTTTGCAAGTATTTTTTTCCAATTGAAATTTTTATGAAAAAACTAAAAAGCCATAATTATGTCTTCATTATTATCATGATTCGAAAGTCTCTTCACTTTCAGGCCATCAGCGTGACACAACGTCCATCATCACATACTGTAACAGCACGTATTGACACAGTACCGTATCTCCCCCTACAGTGTTTGGGGTTCTACTACCAGAACCTCCATGAGAGCTACCATGGTACCGTCTCCTTTAAGTTCTTCGAGACGCCCGTCATCCTCATCCCCTGTCACTCCACAGTCTACTGGTGGGTCCCCAGGCTTGGTTCACTGATCCCTGTTGATTGTTACTATTATTCTGCCATACTTTATGTTATTCACTTAGTACAAATTTCAGTAGTTTGGTAGATATATTGGTAGGTAATTTCTGATAAACAGCTACCAATACTACTTATCTACAGTTTATATCTATAGTAGCTTGGCTTGGTGGATAGAATGGTTGGTTGAAATATTCGTAGATAAAGACAGACAACTATAAATATTGCTTGAAGTATCCACCCAGCAAACACCACCCACACAACTCACCTATCCACCCACACATCCTACCTGTCCACCCACACAGCTTACCTGTCCACCCACACATCTTACCTATCCACCCACACATCTTACCTATCCACCCACACATCTTACCTGTCCATCCACACATCTTACCTATCCAACCACATAACACACCTATCCAACCACACAACTCATCTATCCACCAACACAGCTTACCTATCCAACCGCACACCTTACCTATCCACCCACACATCTTACCTACCCACCCACACATCTTACCTGTCCACCCACATCTTACCTGTCCACCCACACTTTAACCCACATCCACCCACACACCTATCCACCCACATTTTACCTATCCAACCACACTTACACCTATCCAACCACACACCATCTATCCACCCACACACATCTACCCACCCAACCCCACCCACACACCTTATCTATCCACCCACACACTATCTCTATCTATCCACCCACATAACTCACCTATCCACCCACACACATCTATCCACCACACACCTTATCTATCCACCCATCTATCATCACACACCTATCCACCCACACACCTTACCTATCCACCCACACACCTTTATCTATCACCCACACAACTCACCTATCTCCCCACACACCATATTTATCCATATAACCTATCCACCCACACATTCTATCCACCGACACACCATATTTATCCACTCACACCCTAATCTATCCACCCTCACACCTTATCTATCCACCCACACCTTATCCACCCACACAATCTATCCACCCCACCCACACACCCACATTATCTATCCACCCACACACCTTATCTACCCACCCTCCTTATCTATCCACCCACACATTATCTAGCCACCCACACACCATATTTATCCACTCACACTCCTAATCTATCCACCCTCACACCTTTCTATCCACCCACACACATTACCTATCCACCCACTCTTATCTATCCACCCACACATTATCTAGCCACCCACACCATATTTATCCACCAGACCCTAATCTATCCACCCACACACCTTATCTATCCACCCACACACCTTACCTATCCACCCACACACCCTATCTATCCACCCACTCTTATATATTCACCCACACATTATCTATCCACCCACACACCATATTTATCCTCCACTCTCACACCCACAACCTTATCTATCCACCCACACACTTACCCATCCACCCACACACCTTATCTATCCACCCACTCTTATATTCACCCACATTATCTATCCACCCACACATATTTACCCTCACACTCCTAATCTATCCACCCACACACCTTATCTATCCACCCACACACCTTACCTAATCCACCCACACACCTTACCTATCCACCCACTCCTTATATATCCACCCACACATTATCTATCCACCCACACACCATATTTATCCACTCACACTCCTAATCTATCCACTCACACTCCAAATCTATCACTCACACTCCTAATCTATCCACCCTCACACCTTATCTATCCACCCTCCACAACTCACCATCCTAAATACACTAACCATAGTACCCCATCCTCCACTGCCCTCTCTAGACTCGACCTATTTCCCCCCGCCGATGTTTATATATATATATATATATATATATATATATATATATATATATATATATATATATATATATATATATATATATATATATATATATATATATATATATATATATATATATATTTATATATTTGGCCCCTAAAAAAAATCACTGCCGGAGGATTCACTGGAACGAAAAATCTATGCAATCTAATCAATATGTTCGGCTGAGTTGAGGAGGAAGAGCATTATCATATATCCTGTCTCACTTTTCCTACTCTCCATCTTGGGAATCAGCTGTTTGAATGCAAATAAGACTATAATGGAGTTGTTTTTTCCCTGGGAGAACTAATATGACTTGTTTCTGTTGGAAGGGAACGTGTTCAGTAAAGGTACCCTGATATATTTATGGGTCCATATAAACAATGAAGATTAAATTACATTGTAGGTTCATTATAGACTTACCCCACTTTAATGAATTCATAACAAAAATTATTCTGTATAAACCAGAAGGTTCGGTATAGGACTGCTCCGACGGTGCTCCGTGACTGACCACCTTAAGGCAAGTGATATTACAAATAAACCAAGTTAGCTGCAATATAACATTAATCCATGTAAGAAAAAAAAATACATTAATATTCAACCGCCGTATAATGTACAGGATACACACGAAGCTCTGCCAGTTTAATGAATTCAGGATCCAAGACTTGGTATTAGCAGTAACTTCGTGGCAGGTTGATTTTTGTGAAGGAACAGGTCAGGTATCTCGATAAAGTTCTACCTCGTGATTTACAGGTTTAGAGTCCTCCCCATCTGCAAAAATGTATCTGCTGGTTAACGTTTTATACCTATAATTTACCATCTGTCATCTCTAGCCCCTTGTGACAGCGCATCCCTGACTCTTATTGTATATCACAGCACCCCCCACCAGCACCCCTCTATAGTATACAGGACTCTCATCCCCTGGTAAAACACAACATTCCTCGCCCCTTTAAAAGAAGGACATTTAGGTCCTCTCTCAGAATGTCTGGAAGCCTGTCTGCAGGTGACTTGGGAACCTCTTCTACTTTCTTCGATTTATTTAGGTTAGATTAGGTTAGGTTAGGTTAGGTTAGGTTAGGTTAGGTTAGGTTACAATAGGTTAGATTTGGCAAGGCTAGGATAGGTTAAGAATTTCATCATGGTAGAGTTCGGTAATTTTAAAGCCATTTTGCTCGCCCTATTGGCTACTGGGGTAAGCCCCTTTGGCTTGTTTATTCTTGCATATCCCGTCGAAATTCTCTATAAGAATGTTTGAATATCCGGACCCCAAAACCTATTTTTAACACCACAGTGACGAGGTGCCTGACAGTCTCATCTACCGTCCCACGAAGGCGGACTTTACATACGCCAAGAAGCACTCATGGAAACACACCAACTCCACCGCCCAATTGCTGTGGCGCGCCCCTCCCAGATACCCTGAAGAAGAGTTCAACCTCATCAACGTCAGAGGGGTCGAGATCCACATTATCGAATGATGGGTATTACTGTAGTGTGTGTGTGTGTGTGTGTGTGTGACCTGCCTCACCTGGAATATGTAGCCAGAACCTGGGAGTTCTCTACCCTGGGCTATGTAGGACGTGGAACCTGCCTTACCTGGGACAGATTCCAGAAATTACGGGACATCTCGTCTCACCTATGGCACCTGACCCTCCTTAAGACATGTATACAACTGTAAATAACAAGTAAAATGTAATTAATAAGTTAAAATGCATTCATACAATATTGTTAACCATTTTTAGTACTCACGTCAAATATTGATATCCAATGACTATAGCGGCCTGTGTGAAGATTGATATTGATGTTATTGACGATACGAAATATTGATGGAACTTGGATTGATGAGTTTCAAAATATTTCTGCAATTGTCATCAAGTATTAACCGCGTGAAGCTAATACTGACAATATTATTACTCCAGTATGGCGACAGGCGTCATTGCGTGTACATCTACTGCCGGGGGTTTCTGATAATGTTATGCCTTTATTTCAACAACTTGTTTCTCTCGTATTTTATTATTATTTTTTTAATTTAATTATGTTTCATTAAGCATGCCTCAGATTTTATACTTATTATCATCTTTCTCATTAATTAGTTAGCTGGTAACGCTGCCAACACTCAGACCAGCCTAACAGTACATAAACTAAGGTTTCCGCCTTAAAACGTCGTAAATTATTTCTGGCATGCAAATTATACAGAATGAAAGAAGGGCGATACTTATATAACAATTAAATACTCTTTATTATAGGTAAGTGTTAGTATCTATGAACAGTCTGAATCATCAATTATAAAAATAAAGAATCGCCACTTGGGTCCATGCAATGTTTGTTAAACACTCATTTAACTTGCGAAAAAAAAGAGAACCAGTTGGTCTGCTTTATAGTTAAAAAAAATAAGCACCTTTAATTAACAACCATAATAATATCACATTACTTAGAGCACACATAAGCACCTGGTTACAGATCAACTGTCAACTCTTAGGTACAGTAACTCACTAGGCCGTAAAGACAGTCTGAGTTCTTACCCAAATACAGGCAATCTCTGTACTATAAATAGTATATCTTAGCGGTAAGACTTTAACATAGGGCCCCAGTCATTAAGACAGCCTCGATTCACTTATTGTACTTAACACTCATACACAGTACAAGCAACGTCTGTACTAATATACTCGTACACACTACTGCCCTAAGACAGAAGCTAACCTAACCTCATATATATATATATATATATATATATATATATATATATAATATTCAGAAATTTCCGAGTAATTTCAAACGCCGCGCCATTGGCGATACTGAGTTTCAAGGTCGTCTGAGGGAAGACAGTGCTCCGCACATAGTGAGAGTTTCTAGAACTAGGCCTATACGAGATTAAATGTAATTTACCGAGTTAATAGGGACGCGAATCATGAAATTAAATATCAGTTATTAAATTGAAAATAATTATAGATCATTTCCCAGTCTGAAAATGTTACTGGTGTCCCAAGAAAGTTATTAGTAGGCGGAAAATATGTCACGTAGGCCTAAGCTAACGCCTTGAGAGGAAACGAGGTTGGCTGGCTCTGTCAGACGACAGCGGTGGAACAGAGAGGACAGACTGTGCGTCAGAGAGGACAAAACGGTCACGTGGTCTAGTCACCTGTGTTGCGCTATGCAGTATAACAAGTAAGTCTCATTCGATCTCAGACAGGGTTTAGATAGGGCAGTGATAAAGTTAACAAGAGCTAACAGTGAGTTCATTGCAGGGTTTTCGTCAGAACCCACCTGACTGCGAGTGATGACTGCCGTTTGAGACTGCCGTTGATGATTAGCGATTGTCGTAGTTGGAACGATCAGTGCAGGCTTGTTACTGGTTAGCAGGGTTAGCAAGGGATCTCTGAAGTAACATCAGCTGTCTGGGTGCACAACTGACGATCGTCTGGGGTCGCTAGATCTCTTCTCCCTCGGCTCACAATATTACATATCTTCAAGCAGTTAGTGAAAACCTTTTACTACGAGAAGCTAAAGCTTCTCTCAACTGAACAAGGGCTGATTGGTTCACTCTCTTCCCGCCCATGGATGCACTGAGAGTACACTGAGGCTATCTGAGTAAATTAATGGTCACACACAGAGACCAGGAGTCTAGGGGATACCTAGAGAAACATTTTATCTCCCTTATTATGGGTGTATGTTGAGTTGGGTGAAGCATGTTATGGGACATAATGTAAGGTGTATTTAGAGTATGTATGTAGTTAATAATTTTCCTAATATCGGTTATTCCCAGCTCGCAGGGACTGATATTAACCTGTTGAGTGCCCTTAAGGCCTGTTCATGTGTGTAGGTAATAGGACCTGTAGTTAATACAATTTTTTCAGTTACTGATATTATCTGGCTGTGTGCAGTTTAATATTTCTTAAATAATTTGGATAGTATTGTTTTTTAATGTTTGTGTCACTAATTGATGCCAGAGAATGAGGGAACTGTTTTTCAGATGAGTTTTCTCCCTTCTGTTGTAAGTGATACTGTGATTTAGTTCCATTAATGCATTTAATATTTCTTTATAATTTCGATCTCAGGTATAACCCTTGTTCCCCAGAGTAGTGTTTAAGTTAGGTTAGGAGGTGTGTATCTGTTGGGGTAATATAATTTTGCTGAGTGCCCTGAAGGCCTTTTCAGGGTGGAGTTAATAAGTTCTCATTTTTTTATACCATTTTCTCAGCAATTGATATTATTTTGTTGAAAGCCCTTTAGGCCTGCTTCATGTGCGCAAGCAACATTTCCTAATACTTGGAATTTATTGTTGTCTAATGAGGCATTGTCTGAGTGTCTAATAATTTCAATATCATGTATAACTTTTATTCCCCAGAGTAGTGTTTTAAGTTCAGGTTAAGAGGTGCGCATATGTTGGTGTACCAATATTTGATTGTGTTTGTAGTGTTGGAGGGAATAAAAGTGTCTAAATCTTACAGTGTGTCTCATTCATCTCAATCGCAGATGCTATCCTTCCACGAGTCACGGAGAATTCATTTTTGTTAGTAAATTTAAGTGTTCTTGTGCTGGTTCGGGTTTTTTCTCAAAGGGGCGCATCCACTGCAATTTCCATCTAAGAATATTTAATACTGTAAACCCCTAGTCAAGTGAGAATTAAAGTCCAGTAATTCCGACCTGTTACATATATATAACTTCAGCAATGGAAAGCGGAAAGCGTAATTTCATAATGAAGAGGAGAGCCAAGGAAAACACAAACATATTGACTAAGTTGGGTTTCTTTATTTATTTATTTATTTATTTTTTACAGGCATTAGCCCACCCGGGCATAGGTCACTGACCCACATCGGGGCCTGGGGGGAGAAAATATAATAATAATAATAATAATAATAATAATAATAATAATAATAATAATAATAATAATAATAATAATAATAATAATAATAATAATAATAATAAATACCCCATAAAATAAAAAATCAGTTGTGAGAAACTCTATATGTATGATGTGCTATCAAAGTAAGAGAAACAATTGAAACCGGCAATTGTGTGTAAATGAGGCACAAAGTCAGATCAGCAACTTGGGACTTGGTCACAATTTTCGTGATGCCATAAATTATGGCGGAAGGGTCTACCATTAGCCAACACACTATGTGTTAAGGTGCCAACCTGGGGGATAATTAAAGGCCGCGTCCATAGTCTGCTTATTAGCGACGGTGACAAGGGAGGACAGACATATCCACACAGCTTGACGTCTGAGCCGAAGCTAACTGTCTAACTCCCGCCGTTGGCGGACCCATACATTGTTGGCAAACCGGCACATACCCCAACACCATGCTTCTAATATCTTCCCAGGTGGTAGTACCTCCCTGTTTGATAGCTGCCTACTACATACAACGATTCGGAAAATCATTTACCATCATCAAAGCTTAAAAAACAGACCAAAAGTTTAAAAAAAATTACAGGTAATATACAATAAAAACGAAACATTATTCTAAAATTAACTTCCGCAAAAGTTTTCAAAGAGCATTATAATTTAAAACCAATAAAGATGACGGGAGACCTGCGTACAAAACTAAAATCAGTAAAAAACTAAAACATACAGGAATACAGGAGGTATTACCTTAATTGAGTCGAGCCTTAGAGAGAAAAAACACCAATTCACAGGAAGCCATATCACAAATGGATGGCGTTACTTTATTTTGATACAAGGCTTCCATAATAAGGAGGTCCTTCTCACAGTTGCTCCTGCCAAGAACTGAGAAATCACACTGCGAAAATGGGTGGTCGTGTTGGTGCCTGTGGTTACGGAAAGCTGAATGTGGTTAGTTTTAGTTTAATAAATTTGTTGACAAAGCGTGGAGTACAGTTTGCCTATTCTGAGGGTGGTATCACTTCTCACTGCCACGCAGGACAGAGGTTCATACACAAAGAAATACATCATATTCATAAACAGCTATATATATATATATATATATATATATATATATATATATATATATATATATATATATATATATATATATATATATATATATATATATATATATATATATATATATATATATTTCATGTAAATCACAATGAAAACGTGGATAAGATAAATCTTGATAAAATCACACGGGAAAATGGAAACAACGGAGTACCTTAGCTTTCGTCTTTATTCAAGACATCTTCAGAGGCAACTAGATTACATGGACAGAGAGAGGCTTAAATATACAGGGTGACCTAAAAACATGAGGTCAGGTCATAATGATGACATCCACTAATCCCCACACCAACACAACCGTAGAGGAGCTTAAGAGAAGGGTGGTGACGTGACTAGACAGGTCAGGTCAGAAAAAGGGACCCACAAAATAACTGTCATACATCAAGATCAAAGGTTTTCAAAGCAGTTTTAACCTTGGGCCACTGACAAATAAATTTATGTAACATATTATCAGTTTTGAACTGACCATCACTAAGGTTTATTGATTTTAATTCCTTAATCAAACTAGCTTCAACCAGAAGTCTTTCTGTGACACAAGATGATTTGAATACTTCTAAGCTTTTTTCCCAAGCAATGGGGTGATTATTATTCCTAACATGAACGAACAAGGCACTGCTTTCAGATGCAGTTCTGATATTATACTTATGTTGTTTGATTCTGAGCTGCAGTGTTTTTCCTGTCTGACCTACATAATTACAATTACATTGGCTACATGGAATACAATAAACACTTCCATTTACATTCAAACTTGGGCTATTCCTTATTAACATATTGGTAATGGTTGAGTCATACTTGAAAACAACATTAATATTTAGAAGCTTGAGGGACCGAACTAAAGGGACAAATTCATCACGATAGGGCAGAGTCAAAATATTCTTAAGTGTAGGAACTTGTCTGGTTACAGAGGAATGAAAGGATTTTTTAGCCCTTTTAAAGCAACGATCAACAAACACAGAAGGGTACCCAAGTTTCTGTGCAATAGAACGAATGTGTTTAAATTCGTCGTCAATAAATTCAGAGTCACAAATACGCAGACATCGTAGGAACATAGCAGAAAAAACTGACATTTTGGTAGACTCAAGGTGATTGGATAAAAAGTGAATGAAACTGTCTACCTGTGTGGGCTTTCTATATACCTTAAATTTATAGTTTTGGCCATTTCTCATGATAAGCATATCAAGAAATGGAAGGGATTCACTTATTTCTCTTTCAATTTTGAATGTGATACTAGGGACAATATTATTAAGCTTGTCTAAAAATTCCAAAGGGTCACTGTTTTTAGGCCAAAGACAAAGAACATCATCTACATATCTATACCAAGGAGGAATACAGTCCACTACATTGGGGAGTAATCTAGACTCAAAGAACTCCATATAAATACAGGCTAGAGGAGCAGAAAGACAATTACCCATGCTCATGCCAAATACTTGCTTGTAGAACTTCCCATTTGCACTAAACACATTGTCAGTTACGCATAACTCTATCAATTTCAGGAAAGTATCATGTTCAATAGTTAAATCTAGCAGTTGTAATTTATCTTTAAGAAATGAAAGTAAGTCTTTCACAGGTACTCTAGTGAACAGTGAATTTACATCAAAACTTATTAATTCGCAAGGTTCGTTGTGTTTCTTGAGTTTATCAATTAAATCACTGCTATTGCGTATATGTGAATTAGATATTTGGCCTGTAAGAGGGGAAATCATCTTTACCAGCCACTTGGATAATTTGTAAGTAACAGAACCCACAGA